CGCTCCCCGCCGCGCCACCACGTCGCACCCCCACCGCCCCACCGCGCCCCGCCACGCCCCGCCGCTCGGCGTGGTTCTAACCTACTTAGCGGCGGAGGCGCGTCAAATGCAGGACTGTTGTTCGGCGGGGCTTAGCGCTGCACGGGGGAGCCGCCCCAGCGCGCCCCAGCGATAGAGGCTGACGCTCTGCTACGCTCTGCATGACCGCGGGCAGAGTGGCAGAGCGGCGGGTTGTCGCGCGGTGAGTGGGGCCTGGCGGGGCGTGGCGCGGCTTGGCGCGGAGCTGCTGAGGGGATTTGGCTCAGACCAGACGTGCTCTCTGCAGTTGGCCCTGCTGGAGGTCGCAGCAGAGCCACAGCGGAAGCAAGGTCGAGTCAAAAGGGTCGTTCGTTGCTGTGCGCGGGCGCGCGGAGCAGGCCCGACAGCGTCGAAGGGTGTAGGCCGACTTCAGAAAAGTATTTTCCGTCGGTTTTAGTTTTTCAACTTGACAACACGTTCTGCTCCGATTCATTTCCTCGCGCCCTGCTCGCCCCGTACACACCCCGTCTAATTGCAGTCTCAGGAGGTCACGGCTCGTCTCGCCCGGAATAGAGAGGCTAATTACCCGGAGGCGCCCCGGTGTGCCAAGTCTGTATTATCCCCCCGCGCGGCTGTGTATGCAGACAGCTGTCTCTGTGCCAATAGTGCGCTCCTCGCCTTGGCTGTAAACTTGGACTAAAATGAAAAGCGTGTGTGTGCGGCGCTCATAAACACACCGGAATGAGTTCGCTCTTTTCCTGGGCCAGCTCAGCTCGCATTGCTGGAGGCCTCCTCTTACACTCGCTGTGTTGTGTCGCTCGCTCTGAGTCGCTCACTCGTTCGCTCGCTCGCTCGTTCTCTCTCGTGAAGCGCCGCCTAACCCAGATAACGAATCAAAGGAAAGCCGCCTGGGCAGAAAGACGGGTGACACAGAAACAAAGTGATGGGCAAGAGGGCAGAGGAGGGGTTGGGGCGCGCGAGCGCGCGCGAGGGCCGTCTTGGCGAAACCGACTCACTCAGTTCTTTGTTTCCAGCAATCAGGCCCTTAAGGCGCCTCCAGGCTCGCCTCCAGGCTCGCCTCCAGACTGCCCCCACAACCCCGCGGCGCTTCCATAATCCTGTAACTAGGCGGGCTGCCACCACGCCTCGCCGAGCACACCCCGCCCCCGCGCCTTCAGCTTTCCCCTTTCACTTCCGGTGGTATGAACGGGATAATTACAGGCTGTCTGATACAAATTGAAGTATCGGTGTCCGCGCTGCATCTTGGACCAGCAGCAGCGCTGGTCTTCTGATGATGCAATGATCATGTTTTGCGACTGCTTATTGAACCGTTTACGTGCGGGGAAAGCGGTGTTGGTGACAAACTAAGTCGCAGCAATGATGACGCCCCTTTGAGGCCCCTGTATGGGATCCTCTCTAGGAGCCCCCTCCCCTCGAGGGCTGCGGGGGGCTCCTCTACAAGGAGCCGGGCCACTAATGTTTGGCCGGCCGCAGAGCCGCTGCTCGTGGGGCGCGTGATGCCGAACGGTATTACTGTCTGTCCGTCCTCCTCGTCTCCTTGGAGGAGGCGCGCGGGGGCGGGGCGCACGGCGGCGGTGGCAAGCCTCGGCCCGGGGTTTCACGTAGAGCCCTCCCCTCCTCCCGGTCCATGATGGTCCACAAAGGGTCCCCGGGGAGCCCGTCCTCCTGGCCGGGCCGGGAAGACGAGGGACGGGGAGACGGGGGAGGGGTCGCGGGGGGCTCTCGCCCCCTCCCCCCTCTATACCCTCTCAGGGGGGACTTACTTTGGTTTGGCGCGTGGGGGCAGAGACGGAGTTTGTGCGGCGTGTGCTGCTGCTGCGCTGGGGCCCGCGGCTTGTATGCTGCCTGGCACCTACTGTGCTGCTGTCTGCCTGCTGGTATGTGTACTACACCAAGTAGTACGGAGTCCGGCTAAAGACTTTCCGCCAGTAGAAGCAGTTGCGGGCAAGTGGTTTGTCCCACCAGCTCGCTAAAGCGTGATTTGCAACAGTGGGCGGGAGTGGAGGCGAGTGTCCCCAAGGGTCGCGAAGGGCCCCCTTGGGCCCCTCGGGAGGGTCTCGACCACTAGCTGCACAGGACTTGCCGACCGGACCGACCAGTCGTCTTGATCAGCTCTTTGTGGTTCGTGAACCACAACAGTCCCGCCAGGGCGGGGCGAGGGGGAAGAGGTTAGTGGGGGGAGGGGGTAGGTTGGACAGCAAGAGGGTTGTGGTAGTTCCAAGGGGAGGGAAAGAGGTGCGGGAGGGGGTGGGGTGAAGGATGTCGACTGCCCCTAATTTCGCCCAAGATCCACTACCACGTAACTTAACAATCCTCTGTCCATCTTGCGCACAGCTCCGAATACGCCACTGTCCACTGTTCCGCCCGGATCGGTCGTTTCGGTTGGTCAGGGTCAGGGGCTTTCCGGGGGGCCGCTAGTTCGGCTTCGCGGTAGTGCGGGGCGGGGTGGCGGCGGGGTGGCTCCGACCGCACGGAGCAGATTTCTATCACCACTTCCCCATTCCCCCC